TCATCCAACGATACATACGTCTGAAAACAAGAATAATAATTCCTTAGTGTGAACAGGACAATAGTTTCAGGGTACCTTATGTTTTACCAACGCTTTTTGAATTTTTTTTTGATTTTCAAATAGCATTTCTATTTTTTTTTCCATTCTGTCTTGACTGACCAGTACTTGTTTCAAGTATTTTTCAATTTTATCACTAGAAATTGATAAACAGTTTGACGGTGATGATGGATTCTCATCGTCATCATAGATTTTGAGGATTCTTCTACCGGTCATTGTTGGCGTTTTCAAACTTGATGTTATTGATGTTGTTGGACGATTTGGATCATAATTTGTCGTCCGTTCAAAACTATTGTCTTCCTCTTCAAAACCTTGCTCTTTTGTACACCACATGTCTGTTGCATTAGTATTTGACGTCGATTTTTACAAACGCATTTGCTTTGCTGTGGAATAAGTGCTTGCCATTGAGGCTCGTTTTTTTAGATTTAGTAGTGGAGGTGAAGATAATAATGACATATTGTGAATTGTATCAAGGACATTTTTGTTACCATCATTTTCTACAAAATTGCACAAAACATGATTTTAGTCAACTTGTGAGAATTTGTTACGTCACCTGTTGAACAAGCATACGATGGGCTTTGAGTTTTCGGTGTTTGTGCAAACTGTTCATTGAGATCGATTTCTAAAAGAAAAGCTATTACAAAAAGAATTTATTTTGTACTGGCAAACCTCCAAATGGAATAGTATTTAAATTTATTACAGATTTGGGGCATTCTAAAAATCAAAATGGAACAAACTAGCACATTCTTAGACAGATAAAATAGCTTCGTACTTGTTTGTTCAATTTTCTTTGCTTTGTTCCTATTTTCGACGCCATCGGGATCAAAATCACTTTCGATATCTGTATTCATCACTTTATTTAACAATGTTGCGGCTTTGGATAACTCGGCCATTGTACCTAAAACATAAACAGCCAAAATAGCGCGACCTTTTTTCTAATATCGTATCGTACCTTCTTTAAACACCATAGCTTTATATTTCTTACTTCCATCGTGCACAAAGATTAGTCCGCCATGTTCAGTTTGCGTACATTGTTTGTCTTTCACAATCGAAAATGTATTATCACTGGGAAAAATCACTAATTTATATTTTTCATTGAGAGCACTTCGTCGACTTGTGGTGTACATTTTGACATAATCATTCTGTATAGCATCTAAATTGTCATACATCTAAAAGAGGTGAAGAGAGAGTAAAAAGATCAAAATCCGATGGATTACTATTTTTTTCCAACAAAAATACTGTTGCTAAAGTTTATGCGAAAGCAGTTCAGAAGTGAGCTCTCTGATACAGCTGAAAACTGTTGTCATCTGTTTTCCGATAGCGTCTCATACAAAGTAGTGGCTTATTAGACGCATCATAGAAATCAGACAAAAAAAAAACAAAGATGTTTACAGAAAAAGAGGCAACCGCTTAATCGTGTTCAAAATCTACTCTTATTTCCGACAAACAGAATAAGTTTCGAAACGGAACACGAATGCATTTGCGATGAATAGAATGTACGGGAACAATAACAAAATTATCGGTCAGCGACACTAGAGGAAATAGTTCATCCAATTTTTCATTCATTTCAACTGGAATATTCACAAGCTGTGATAACTGAACTGCTGATGCTTCATATTTTTGCACAAATGCAAAGTAATCAGTGCGATATTGATAAAATAAGATTATATTTCCATATTCGCTTCTACTATGATCCGCCCAAAATGAAACAATACAACTGACACAATTGAATGCTTCGTCGTAGATAGTAGAGTGATACGTGATAAATGCAGTTTTATACCGTTTGAATAATACAACATCACGAACATCTTGATTGTAAACAGTTAAAAGTCTCAATAATATCGTACGATATGGACTAACGACAGTGTGATCGATATGTATCTTCTGAAATGGCACAAAGGTTATTAAAAGGTGGAATGATTGTAACGATCAATCAACTTACGTTAATGGCAGCAGACGTTGATATTACGAACGGACTAGTTTTCATAATACACTGAATATCAATCCAATACGCTATTTGGCTAGCCAAGTTCCTAGCTCCATGAGCTTTCTTTTTGATGAATCTTATGCATGATTCAAACGTGTATGCCGAAGTAAACGCTAGTCTTCCATGAACTTCGACTTGTTTTGGCAGATGAAGATGTGCATGTAAAGAAAATAATTCGATTGACAAATCATAGACGAGCGGCGCTTTTTTACAATAAAAGTTAATCAACTGTTTAGCGAAAATGATTTCTTCGGTCGAATCAGGTGCATGTAATAGTTTCATAGCCAGAGAATAAACGACGAAGTGAGAAGCGAATAATTGAGGTAGATAGGCAACACATACTGGCACGCCCACATGCAAGACAAATAAACGAGCATGTTTTGCCTTCCATTGATCAACCGCCGTAATTGGATCAAGATAAACCACTCGCATGTTATGTGGAATACGTATTCGTTGTAACATGCTGTCTATATCTTGAATAGCTTGCTTATTTATTGCCTTGCACCAACGTTTTATCAGTTGTGGAACATGCCCGAGACATACCAAATGCATGTAATCGAACACAATCTGAGATGGGTATTCAAAAATATCCATTAATGACGAATATCCTTTCACACCATCAACACTGGTTGCTTTGCTACCGTTAGATTTCGTTCTAAATATGCAAATGAAGTTTTTAATAAAATGAGCAGGTACATGCGTTCTTGGTAGATGAAAGGAAAGCTAGATATCATCTGTAAACACAAACAATTGTTAGATAAACCAGTAATTTACAGTGCTTCTTGCGCCGCTTTCAGATAACCATCATGAGTTCGAGATGTGTAATCGTTACCAGCATAAGAGTACAATACTGTTTTGTAAATATTACTCCAAACACCTAAATGAACGATAAAAATGTATAACGAGAAATCACACGTACAGGTTCAGAACAAAACGATACTTGACGACGCTACAGAGTATATATATACTGAGCTGTTCACCTTTTGTGCAACAGCATGTGCACGCTGAATAACCGTTGAAATTGATTGTATGACAGAATAAGGCTTTGGCTGGCAAATCTGATAAGAAAAATTGTGTTGATAAACAAATATTGTACTCTTGATCACCAATGAATATAGAAGTTCCATGTCGCATTAAATCTTTCAAATCTTTCATGGTTTCTTCCAAAAATACGTTCACGTTTGGTTTCTGTTTGGCTGACCATAGTGCCAAAACAACAATATTTGTTTGGTATTCTCGTACTGGTGGTGGCAGCTCAACAATGGAGGCAAAGCACGGCCAAAGCGATACTCTTGTTGTTCGAATTAACGGAGCACCATCCGAATGAACAATCAAGGTCACCGGATTCTTTTTCTTGGCACTCATTGTTTGATAATGTACGCCAAAGCAAATATCTTGCTTTGGAAACAGCGTCGGTTCATTGAGCAGAGTTGAATTTCGACAAAGTATTGATTGTATTGTGAACGAACATCAAGATGTACGATTTCGACTGTCTCGTTGCTTCTCAATGTTCTATTTGCACATTCGCATTGTTTATTCGTGCATGTTCTTGAACCATATCTTGTTTTTGCACATCGTTGATTGCATTTTGAACAAAGAAATGTTGTGATTGACATACACGTTCTTGCATACACTTTCATGATACCTTTCCAGGTTGTCGGCAGTTTGTTCGGCTCTGGCAACAGAGATTTTATGATTTTTAACAACTTAACAACGTTTTCCTTATCAATACACGCATTGATATAGAATTCACTCAAATTTTTTATAGCTGTTTTGACCGATATTGTACTTCCTTGATACAATGGTTGCGAATCATCAGAACATACAGCAATGTCAACCTCTCCGGGTACGTTATCGAACTGATCGTGGATGTAATTTGTTTTCGTCGCGCTACTCAGTTCGTCTTTCGATACGGCTGTGTAAACATTGTTCATCATTTGATTCTCAATCTCATCGTTATCTGACTCATACTCGCTCGATTCATTTTTTAACGCCAGTCGCGCATTTTCTGCGCTTCAAGACGGCGTTGTCGCTGTTTATGAACTTTAAGAGAGTTATATTGGAGCGATTTACGAGGCATATCTAAAATGATAGAATATACAAAAATATTGTGATGTAATAAATGAACGCTTACGAATGCATCCGCCATTATCTGACTGTTAAAAAGAGGTATTTCATATTGCTCTTTGACGCCCCAATTGCAGAAAAGCAGTAAATTAGAGACAATCTAGCAAAAAAAAGTTCATTTACGTAAGATTTTTTATCATACAAGTCTAAATTGATAATACACACTTTTTTCATTTCCACTGCCCATCAAAAAAAACATTCTAAAGACGGAGAAAACCTACGTAGAAAGTAGAATTTTTGAAAGCCAATATCAAAAATCAGTCGTACATCTTAACAACCAAAATTAAAATCGTTCTGTGACGCTTATTTCATCCCGGCACTCAGACGAGTTCCTTATTACGTTTAGTAAAATTCTTTAGCCGTAACTGACAACTAAGTAGTTCAACTTTTTCTAAGCACTTCTCTTTTAGTTCATTGTTCGTTTTTTCATTCAATTCTAATGGTCCACCTGATTGACCACTAGAAAAATTAGAAAGCAACCACCATTTTAAGTGTCAAGGACACTGCTGCGAAACTTGTTATTATTGATTTTCCGTATTCGATTTTTGTCTTATCTTCACACAAGCAATAATCATATAATAAAACAGTGATCTTAGTGTATCCTATACTTTATATATCCCACTCTTTCCGTTGGGATCCCGCCCCAACTTTTTAAGCGGGATCCCTTTTATTTTTCAAAATTTACGGGATCCCGCTGCTTTTTGCCAGAATCAGCATGATCCCACTACTTTTTGCAGGCTTAGCGGGATCCCGCTAAGAATGATAAAAAATGTTCGACATGGGAATGTATGTTTGATGTTGGGGTTTAACTAATTATATTTTTCATCGACATTTAGATTTTTTTTCGACATCTAATAGTAATAATATTGTATATTTTCAACAAAGTTGTTTCTTCATATGTGTCCTATTTAGGCAGACATCGAGTAATTAACTAAGGATTTTAGATTTTTTCCAAAATCTGGCTTTTCGTAAATTGCTTCGTTAAAAATTTTCTGCCTCGGTAAGAATGTAGAGCAAAAGTTTGTCTAAAGAATGAGAGGTTGGACAGCTCTGTACGATTCCGTTTTGAGATTTTGGCAGCTATACCTCAATAGCACATAATCGAGTAGTAAACGAATATCGATTTCTCTCTTATAGAGCTATAGCTGCCAAACTTTCAAAACAAATCGTACAGAGCCGTCCAATCTCTCACTTTTCGAAGAAATGTCTGCTCTACATTCGTACCGAGTCAGAAAATTTTTAACGAAGCAATTTACGAAAAGCCAGATTTGGAAAAAATATAAAATCCTTCGTCGATTACTCGGTGCATGCCTAATCCTACTGACATTTTTTTCATAGTCACCTATTATAATAATGTAATTGTTTGGTAATTTCCAAAAAAAATTTTCTCCTCTTTTATTGCTTTGTGTGACAGAATGAGCGAATATGTTCCTGTAAAACAGTACCGTCCACCTTGGCCACCCATTCTTGTTTCTCTTGCTCGTTCCGTGAATAGAGAGAGAAGAAAATATAGAAGAACTCGTTCCTTAGTTCATCTTAAAGAATTTGTAGCTATTAGAAAGATATTTTACACTGAAAGCGCAAAATATGAACAGAAAAGACGTGAAAAACATCTTCAGTCTCTTTCACAAGGACAAAATATATGGCGCTTTGTATGTCCTGCATTTCATGCCTATTCTCCGTCTTTTCGGGGATTGACAGTCAATGAGAATATTGAAAAAGATTGCGTGAAAGTAACAAATCAGTTAGGAAATTTTTTCGAACAACATTTTGCTCTTCCGGTACACGATCCTTTGAATGATGTCCATAGAGAGTACATTCGTGTATATGAACAGATCTCTTATTTACCTAATATTCCACTTGACTCGATTTGTAAAACACAAGTAAGGTGCCGGAAATTCAAAAGGTTAGTGATAAATGAATCTGGTCGAGTTATACATAATTTGGATAGAGCACGTCGAGCTGATCAAGAATATCACCTTTAAAGATTTTTGACGTCAACTGTACAGCAGAAAACTTGTAAAAACAAAAAAACGTGAAAAACCGACTGTTTCTGAGAAACCGCATGGTTTCCCCACTTTGCTGACCTCGAACAATTTTCTGCTTATTTTATTTGGATTCAGCATCAAATGCCGAGTAGATCAGAGTGGCTTTGAAAAAATTTCAAGTCATCCCTACCACTGACGGCGGACCTCAGACTCCGAGTGACACCTCAATCTGGCAAATGTATCTCCTCCCTGGTTTCAACAGTAAACCCATACTATTATACATCATTCGAACCGCCGTTCGACGGGCTACAAAGTTACGCTCGTCTTTTTTTCAAAAATGTTTTTTCCCTTCCCACAAACCACTCTTCTTATATGCTTTAGGTCATGACACTACTCGTTTTTTCTTCAGTTGGTACAGTTTTCTCTTCGACTTTTTTCTTTTCTTTTTTCTTTTTGACTTTATTCCTTTTTTTTGGCTTTCATTGGTTTTTTTAAACGTGTATTTTCATCTTAAAAATACCTCTATTCGACAGTGATAGTAGGAATCGAGCAAGAAAAAAAAGAGAAATCGTAGACGTCTAATTCAGTTTTGTATTCGAGATTCTTCGATGTGACTGAACATCTAGCTGACAGAGATTGCTGTAGAAGTACGTGAGAACTAAGAACTAAGAAATTTCTAGAATTCAAAATCGAGCGACCGAAACTAGATGAGTTATACACCATTCGATGCAGTTTTTCACGCTGATCCCGAATATGACCTCATTCTTGAGAAAAAGTGGTTTTATCGGTACGAAAACCTAGAAATACCTTCAAAACCCTACGGATTTTCTAAAATCCATAACTCGACTTAGACAAAAAGTTACAAAAAGTTA